AACTGCTCTTTATAAGCATTAAACACCTTTATATTATATTATCTGACTGTTTAATGGTTATTTAATGTTTAACAATCCAGCAGGTATGATTTGAGACTTGGTAAGTTATTGATTTGTCCCTCTAATAATCAGATATGTGAACACAATGTGTGTCTGAGGAGAGCTGTAACTAATATATTGATTATATATTGATTATAAAGCTGTACACAATCAAATCAAATCAAAAACATTAGTTAAGGTTGAGATGTGAACCCATTTCTGCCTGTGTGACCTTTAAAAAGGATTCAGTAAGTTAATATAATGTGAATATTAATCAGTATTTTGACTTAGCATCTTAAAAAAATGCCTTAAAATCTCAACATATTAAGAAAATGTTTAAATATTTTGACTTTGAGAAAGTTTCTCATTATTAAACCTTAAAGAATCTTTTTTTTTTAGCACCTCTTTGTTTTGGGACATAAGAATACTTTGCACAGATAATGATCGGGTAATATGTTGAATTATAGTAGTTTAATATTTAGTGTTTGTTGTGCTCTAATTATATAAACTTACTGAAGAGGTGAACATCTGACGACAACACGCTTTAAGACTTTATTCTGTATTGTTAACGAGTAGAAATGAACTCCTGTATATAGCTGGATAAATATAGGTCTGCGTAATTAATCACAATATTATTAAATTCACAATATGGCCAAATATAATATCCATTTGCAAGAAGCTGCAGTTTTTCTTCGATAAAGGTGAAATATGAAGCGTTATAATGAAGCTCTGTGGGGCTGTGGAGATCCCCTGACCTACAGATGTTGTTCTCCAGATGTAAGAAAACATGTTTGTTTAGTACAGACTCAACAAATCTGTTTTTTTTACCATCTCATGGATCTTTCTGTTTCCTTTCAGAGACGCTGCATTTGGGGAACTTCCCACCAGCATGGACACTGAATCATCAAACGGCAAAGAGGGAATGGTAACATCGTCATACGTTATTATAAATGCGTCTGGTTTGTTCTTCTTATTGCGTGCGATACGTTCTGTTCGTGGCTTTGCTTTTGAATTATTTCGTCACTTTGATATTTGACAGGAAGCGGCTGGCGACGGCTCGGAGGCCGCTGACGCTCTGACCGGATCCGGAGACGAGGAGAGCGGCAGGCAGCTGGGAGAGGTGGAGCTGCAGTGTGCCTTGTGTATGAAGTGGTTCACCGCAGACACGTTTGGCATCGACACTGCGTACGTATATCCACTGAAGTATAAGGCTGCTCAATTAATCGAAATCTGATCCTGATTACGATTTTGGGGCCAAACGATCAAAACTAATAAAATCGGGGAAAACGTTGTTTACCGTCTGCGTATTTCCGTCGCGACACTCGCTGCAGTCTTCTCCGTTTGAACAGGTAACGAGGAGACTTACAAATGTTTACGGGGAAAGGAAAGTGTAACTGAGGACTTAAAGTGTTTCTGACAAACGTCCAATAAATGCAGCGTGTTTCTGAAGTTTAAAGAAATAATGGTGATTAAAGACTGATCTATTTTACAGTCACACAGTCCTGGAATCATTTCTACAACTACTTTATATCTCCTGTGGAAATGTATAATTTTGCACTTTGTTGTGAAGACTTGCAGGTGACAAGGTAAAATAAGTCTCTACATATACACATGCTTTTTATGGTAATTGTTTTTATAAAGTATTACTTTATTTCAATTTTACATTTATTTGTTCATATTTGCAACCTGTGTTTACTTTTTCAAGTTCCGAAACAGCTCATTGAGCATGTTTGAGTTTTTTATTGTAATTAATTGTATATTTTTTTCTCAATTCGAATTTGATAATTTCTGTGTATTTTTGGGCCCAATGTGTTAATAAAGTAGGTCGAAGTGAAAAAATAGTTATCAGATCATAAAGATGAAGTTAAAAAAAGAAACCAAACAACCGGTACGGCAAACATTTTATGCGTTATGTAAAGGCAAAATCAAAAGTATTCAAAAACGGGTTTTAATAAATATTGGGTATCACTAAATCAGTTTATAATATAAAGTATATACATTAATCTTCCTCTCTCTCTCTCCGCTGTGCACCAACTACAGTTCACGAGCTCTCTCACTCACCTTGTGGCCAGGATGATGATCTCGGTCCTGGTTGGAGTCACACGCACCTCCACGCCGGAGTAACCATCTTCAGCAAGCTCACGGGTCAGGAACTCGTTCAGCTCGGCCTTGAAGATACCGTCTGAGACGAACTACGGAGAGAATACAGATGAACGTTATTATTACTGCTGCTTTAATGCGTTACTGTAGATGTTAAAGCTCCCTTTAATACTTTATATACTGTCGGTATTTTAATGTACAGCACTGCATCTCTGTAAGATCGTGTCAGGCTGTCACATAACGGCCTGTTTTGTGTAATTTCCAGTTAAATCAAAAAGGTTTTACATAGAAATTTCACTTAAGTAGAAGAATTTAACACAAAGAGGAACATTTTATTATTTATTATCTGGAAAGTAACTAAAACTGTCAGACGTGAACTAAAAAAGTACAAGATTTTGCCTTTTAAATGAGGTCGAGTGGGAGGAAACGTCGCTTAAAAATACTTTTATTAACTAAAGTTTGAGTAGAATCGATTTAAAATAGCTTTAAATGAAAGAACCACTTTGTTTTACATCACTCTACATTCACATTTCCACTATACACATTCACTCTGCGTCGCTTCAACCCTTCTCAGACAAATGCCTCGATGTCTTCAACCAGAAGGACTCGCGGCTCTGAGGAACCGGAGCAGAACCACAGAACGTGGACCCGAACCAGCGACCGCAGAACCAGACCGAGTCCTGTTCCGACTCGTCATCGTCTCATCACCGAAGGGACAAACACAAGGACGCTTATTGCAGAGACAAGTTTATGCAGTTTTTAGTTGTTGTTGCTGTTAAAATCTCCTCTGCAGAAACAAGTGTTTTATATTCCAGCTACAGAGAAATGAGGAGGAACTCAATTCACTTCATAAACCTTCAACTTTACACTGCTTTGGTCTTTTAATATCGAGTTATAGTTTAACTTTACGTGTTTAATTATTCTAACTCCTAAAACCGCATGTCAGATGCGTTTTAAAACCGCATTTATCACAAATAAAGATTAAACTCCCAGCTCCATTAGATATTTTAAACACAGATTAATAACTATAATTACATTAATTATTGATTAATCCTCTAATATCTGCGTCTTTAAGGGCAGCAGCAGCTCTTTCAGTCCCAGTTCACTTCAACATGAAGCCAGCGCTCATTTGAACCTGTCACAGAGGAGACGAGCAGATATTAACTCTGTTTAACGTTAATAACGTTTATATTCACGCACAACCGGGCCGAGAGGACCGCATGAGTCCGGGGCTGCCGGTTTCTAACTCACGGCCGGTTTGAGGAGCACGGAGCCATGTTGGCGCAGTAAATGAGGAGACAGCAGCGCCGGCAGCATCTGCATTAATCCTCTCCGAATCGGAGCAGGACGAGCTCCTTTAACACCGAGGCGAACGAGTAACGGTTGTATCCTCGTCCACACGACGCCATTTGCACATAAATCCTCTGTCTGTGTGAGTAAAACGGAGATAAAAGAGAGCTAACCTTCCTCTTCTTGGAGATTTGCACCGCCATCTTCCGATAGGCCGTAGACAGGAAAGGACCGTCAACGGACGCGGAAGTGCTTTTATACCAAAGTGTCTAACTTCCGGTGACGTTGTGTACACGCTGTCTCTGGGATTTGTAGTTTTTAAGAAAGAAACTTTAAAAATGTTAAAAATGTATTTCTAGTGGGTCCAGTCTTTTTTTTAATTAAAAATATAAATAAATTTAATTCTATACTTTAACTTTAAGAGCACCAAACATTAAATTCATTGGTAATTGTTGTGTTTCTGCACTTTAATTATGTTAAAATGTGTCATATGATGCTTGATGAATACAATGCTATAGATAGATAGATACTTTATTTAGGGAAATTCAAGCATAATAATGTAGTAATGATAGGTTAGGGACATCATTTACAAAATAATAAAATGAAAGGTTGGAGTCAAAACATGTAGGGAAATGTCCATACAAGCAGTGGTATAATGGTATATGCAAAAGTGCATACAATATACATCACGCATCAACTTATTAAATGTCATTAATTTTGTAATTTAATGTATAATTGAATGTACATGAATGCCCCTCATGCTCCACCCTGTTAATTAGTATGAGTAGCCATGAATGTTAAATGGAACACCTTTTATAATATGTTACTGTGTTAATGTATGTAAATGTCCTTGTTTATATGGAAGTATGTAAATGTGCCAGACACAATGCATCACTGAGCACCACTGCTGTAGGAGTAATTGCTTAACCTTTCAAAATTGTGGGAATTAAATAATTGGCTGTTTAAGCTCTGTTCAAATAATAATGATTATTAAAAAAAAGTTATTACAAGACATTGTGGATAAGAATATTTGGTTTGTGCTGTGTGATTAGGTTATTTCCAAGGACACTTAAATTGTATAATGTATACCTTCTCTAAGATGAAGATAGACACTGTGGATCAATCAGTGTAGACAAAGAACATAGGGCGGTAAAATCTAAATCCATAACATTTGCAGTGTAAGTTAATTTTAGGTAATGGTACATGAGCGAACAATTTTCAGATGATTTATAATTTTACAATACAAGACTATCTATATGTAGCAGGAAACATAAGAAAGTAAATCTCCTATGATATATGGTCATGTGCAACTCGGAGTAATGAGCTGTTTAAATATATATGACAAGTAGGCTGGGTTGGTAAATATATGGACAAAGCGTTGAAATCACAATAGTTGTCTCATATCTGTAGGAATAACCAAATCCAACCAAATAAATATTATAGATACGATATGTGTGTACCTTTTGTTTGGTATATTGAAAGGAAACATGAATAAAGGAACCATTATATTTTTACTTATAAATACGTATGAGGAAAGAATTAAGTGCCACACTCACCAGGAGTATGTGACGGGCATCAAAACACCTGCACACTATTTTCTATGGAAGCTGCATACTGGGGGTGTCTTGACGTGCGTCATTGTAGGTACATGTCAGCTTGTGAGATACTGTCCTTTGTTACAGAATCAATGTGCATCATCTGGGCAAAAAAAGCAGAAAATTAATTTTGAATGAATGAACATTTTTAGCCTATATTTATTCACATTTAGTCAAATTGGCACCATTAAAAGTTACACTGAATGTACTGAGGAATTGCTATGTTTGAAATCTACCAATGAATGTACAGACAACCATCGCTGGATTACTCTGATAATGACAAAATGATAAAAATGTACAACTTTTTCCTTAACATTTCTCATGTGACACGTGACGCAGTGCAGCAGGCATTTCAAAATGTGACACTTTAACCACGGCATCATCTGTCAGTGTAAGAGACACCGGAATATATCCAGGTGACTGAGCAGTTAATCCGTGCTAATTCCTGCCAGCCACTCACACACACACACACACACTGCATTGATTCAAGGATCACACACCAGCATCCTCAAGGCATAAAGTTGTCACATAAATAAATCCATGCAAATATCTCAGCACTCACTGTATTATGTTATGTCCAATTAGGCAGCTCATAAACAGCCGCTGTAAGATAATAAAATACTGTACATGTGGTGGTATATGGTAAATGGCATATAGTGGGTCTTATAACCCCACTGACATTGCATAGGTCTTTAACACGCATGTTCTGAAGGCTACACACACACACACACACACACACACTATGAGGCTCAAGTGCACTGCAAACTGATACTACTCACATGATCTCTCTCTCTCTCTC